CGGCAAGATGCGCCCATGGGCCCGCCGCTCACACGGTGTCTTCAGCCAGAGCTGCTTGAGAGGGTCGTTGGCTCCCTGTTCCCAACGCGAGTGGTGGAGCATACTCCGCCACAGATGGCTCCGCCTCCGGCGCTTGAGGCGCCTAACGTGGATGACGACGACGTGCCTGAGGTCACTGGGGTGGAACTAAGGGTGGCGGTGTTACGGCTTAAAGCTAAAAACACCGCCCCGGGACCCGATGGTATTTCTGGCCGAGCGTGGGTCGTGGTCTTAGTCGACGAGGCTCTCGAGCCCCGACTGCGAGGGTTCTTCAGCGCATGCCTCGAGCGGGGCCAGTTTCCGAAATTGTGGAGGACGGGGAAACTGGTCCTCATCCGAAAGGAGGGGCACCCGGCGGACTCACCGTCCGCCTACCGGCCCATAGTGTTCCTTGACGAGGTGTGCAAACTCTTTGAAAGAGTGATTGCAAGGTGCCTCGTCAAGCATCTCGTGATGGTTGGGCCGGATCTGGCGGACAGCCAGTACGGTTTCCGTCAGGGGCGCTCCACCGTGGATGCGATCATGCGCGTGAAGGCTCTGGAGGAGGAAGCAGTCTCCCGGGGCGAAGTGGTGTTGGCGGTGTCCTTGGACGCGTTCAACACTATGCCCTGGAGCTGCATCAGAGAGGCGCTCGTGTATCACGAAGTGCCTCTCTACCTCCGCCGCATAGTCGGGGCATATTTGTCGGAGAGAGCCGTCGTCTACCCCAGTAGGACCGGCCTCGGTAGGCGTGAAATGTCGTGTGGTGTTCCGCAGGGGTCGGTGTTAGGGCCACTCTTGTGGAACATCGGCTACGACTGGGTGCTTCTTGGTGCCTTCTTGGATGGTGTCGCCGTCGTGTGAAAGGCGGACGACACACTCGTGACGGCGCGCGGCAAGACGCACCATGAGGCAACCCTGAGGGCCACGGCCGGAGTTGCCCAAGTCGTTGAGCGTATCCGGCGGCTGGGTCTCGAGGTGGCTCTGCACAAGTCCCAGGCCCTGTTCTTCCACGGGCTTCGGAGGAAGCCGCCTGAGGGATCTAGCCTCACGGTAGGAGGCACTCGCATCGGCATCGAGCCCTCGATCATTTATCTGGGGCTCGTACTCGATGGCCGATGGGACTTCGGATATCATTTCCGAGGTCGGGTCCCCAAGTTGGTTGGGGCGGCGCGTGCGTTGGCGCGGCTGCTACCCAACATGAAGGGACCCGATGACTCCTGCAGGAGACTCTACTCGGGGGTTGTGCGGTCCATGGCCCTTTACGGGTGCCCAGTATGGGCGGGGGCCCTGAAGGCCAGCAACGTCGCGATACTGCGACGACCGCAGCGAATGCTGGCCATCAGGATCATAAGGGGGTACCGCACGATCTCCTTTGAGGCGGCGAGTCTCCTGGCCGGAACTCCACCGTGGGACCTGGAGGCGAGAGCCCTTGCGGTGGCGCAAGGAGGCGCGGGAGTTGGGTCGGTGTCCCGAGACTCGAGAAATCGATGACCAGAAATCCCAGCTCCGCCAGGTCATCATAGGGGAGTGGAAGGAACGACTCGGGCAACCGAGCGCCGGGCACGCCGTCATCGCGGCGGTAAGATCCGTTATTGAGAATTGGCTCGAGAGGCGTCACGGGACCCTCTCATACCGACTGACGCAGGTGATCACTGGGAAAGGATGTTTCGGGGATCACCTGTGTCTGATCCGCAAGGAGCCAACGCCTGAGTGCCACCACTGCAATGGCCAGACCGTGGACACGGCTCTCCACACGCTGGCAGAGTGCCCGGCGTGGGTTGAGCAGAGGCGAGACCTCGTGGCGGCCATCGGAGTCTGAGTTCTCTCGCTCGATAGCCTGATTGCGGCTATCGTGCGGAGCGAGAGTGCGTGGAACTCTGCCGTCTCCTTCTGCGAGCAAGTTATGCTCGCGAAGGAGACGGCGGAGCGGGACCGGGAGAGGTTTAGGACTCTCCCGGCCCGCCAGGCCCGGGAACGGGCCAGGTACCGCAGGCGACTCAGGCGCCGGAGGTCGCAGAACGACCTCCGTCCTCCATAAGCGCAGGCCTGGGGGTGACAGGTGAGGCCATCTGTCACCCTAGCAGAAGCAGGCCGGGGTGGCGGCGAGCGCGTTGCGAAGCGCGCTCGCTTCCAGGGAGCACAGGGAACATGGGGTTCCCACACGGGGGGGGGGGGGTCGTCTACTCGTCTGTAGATGACCCGAGGTATGTCGGGGCACCAGGGACTTCCTTTCTAGGGTATACCTGGTTCCCCGGCTATTAGTACCCGAGACGGCGTGCGGTTTTAGTCGGTTCGAGTCCGACATGCCACCGACAGGTGGTAGCCGAGGGGATTACCGCACGGGAAAAAAAAAAAAAGGTTTACAAAAAGAAAACAAATATTAAAAACTATATTATTATTTATTATTTTCTACTCTATACAATAGTTATATTTACATTATTGAATTAGATATGTACCTTAGTACAAAAGTATGACTAGTTGAATATAGGAAATTTAAATAAAAGGCTAGATTTTAATATTAAAAGGTACCTAATATAAGGCAATGGACGTATACCTACTTACTAAGTTAAATGTTAGTTATTTAATTAAAGTAGTTACTCAAAAATTACAATGTTTGAGAATTACTTTCCTTTATTGGAAAAGCCAACAAGAGCGAACGACATAAAATAATATATTACGTTCACACAACTAAAAATATTTAACTGAGAGCATGTTAGGTAAGTGAAAAATATTCTTGGTGTCACAAATAACTTCGAACACTTATTTTTTGTTTTCACAGTTTTCAACACATAAAATAACATTATCTAGGCAAGGTACATATGGCAAATAATAACGACTAGACCGATTCTTTCGTGGTGTGGTTTTCTTCAAAAATATAGCTGCCGAAATAGAAGAGTGGGTAAGTGCCTATTCACATCATCATCACATCAACAGCCCTTAATAGTCCACTGCTGGACATAGGCCTCTCCTTAGGCCTATTATGTGGTTGAAATCTTTAACAACACTCGGGCAATTATGTTTGAGATAACACTTTGAAAAATTGAATTAGTTCTCTCCTGTTTTTCATTATTTTTATTATTTCTTTTATTCAAAAAAAAATAAAAGTAGATATAACTTAGCAATATTTCTGACATCATAACCTATTATTTTATACAACAACAGAAAGGTCCCGTTTTGTTCCACATAAGTTTACGAAATATCTAGTAAGAATTAAGTGATGCTTACAAGTACATAAATAGTTGTTGGAGAGTGAGGAGAGGTCATTCACATCCATATCACTACATTCTAGTGTGGATCAAGGTAAATGTATGTAATAGGTACTCAGAAATTATTTAGATAGGTAACCCACTAGTTGATTTTGTTCTTACTTGTAGTTGGTAGTCAAACTTATGCGAATACCATGCGTGACTTTTTAAAAATTTTGCGTACGCCTTATATCAAGGTATCTTCGTAGATTCCTCATAGCTGAAATATAAAAGCCGTATAAAAATGTTAGAGACATGAAGAAGTTATATTGTAATGCCAAACCTCTTTCCCCTTAGCTTTGAGGGTGTTCCTGCGTCCTGAGGTAATTTAATATCGAATACAAAAAAGGGGATAATAGTCCCGTTAGTATTTCCGCAGACAGATTCATGATAATGATACGTATAAGATAATTTTATGTAAATAATGATAATGATTTTCTTTGGTGGTGTGGTTATTACTATGTGTATACGGTTACAGAATACTCTTAGAAAATAAAACCTAAAGTCCTCTTGACACATTAACTATTTATACTGTAATGTAAAATAAATTCCAAAAAGCGTAGACAATACTGATACGTATTAAAAATAACCAATCAATTATCCAATAGTCAATAAATATCGAAATCTACATAATCTTAATAACACAAAACATTCAAACAACACGTGTAAATCTTAAATAAATTAATAAATAGGTACTAAAATTACAATCGACTTTAATGCCACATAGGTAACTTTTTTCTATTACTTACTTAAAAACTTTATTACAATACATTTATTTATGGTTAATATTTGTAATGTTTGTTTCGCCACAAGCATTTGTTATATCTTTAATATTTTAAGATAAGAATATATGCATTTATTAATTCGGTTTTCTGATATACCCTCAGAAACAGAAAATGAGGGCCAAACGTTTATCGCGGATTTGTAAACAAACAATGCTCTGTTCAGTAATTGTGATTAGGTTTGGTGACAAATGGATTGTTTAATCTATTCAAGTGAGTTATTTGAGATTAAGTAGCGTTTATATTACTTTGGTTAAAAATAATGCCAGACCTGCTTCGCACCTCGTACGTGATGGTAAGTTCAAAATAATTTTAATGTTAGTAAATTCGTAAATGACCTACATTTTCTGCCGGTGAGTATTTATATTTTAAATATGTATTTACAAACAAAACTATCACAATGTACATTTAACAGTGTTCTAGAATTCAACATACAAGATTGTCCTGTCTAGATGTATAATATGCCACAGGATATATTTATTTAATATATTATGCAGAGTAAAAATATATTATTACAATACAGACTTTCAACGGACCTTGCAATAAATAATTTTAACTGTGGTTCAACAATATTAATAATTTACAGTACTTAGTAGCATTAGTAGTTTCAAAGAGTTCAACATTATTTAATAAATAGATCGAACACTTAAATTTAAATAATAAATTTAAAATCCGTAATTCAAGATGTACTAAATTTAGTTCACATTTTATGTATGCATACAATATTAATCTAACAGGAACGGAAGCTGTCCATTGGCAAGAGGAAACTCTCCGTACTGCTGACATCTTTAGTTTCAAAATTAGTTTCCACGTGTTTAACACCGTTCTCATTTTCACAACACTTTGGGAAAGGGGCCAAGCTGTCTGTTTTGTAGACAAACGACTTGCTGTAGTTTTCTTTGGACCTCTCTAGGTTATTATTCGCCGTGGACCTAAGGCCACGAGTCCTGCCTCAGAGTTTTGATGAACCATTGTTCAGGAGTCTGATGCTGCTTTCGCGGCCCATGCTGGTTCTGTAATGACAAGTCAATAGGAAAATTTAAGATTTTTATTTGAATGCATTATACACAGTACATTTGTTTACATATCTTTCCCTAGGTGTTACAGTAAGTTGTGGTCGAATTATAAGTGTTATGCGTACGCATTTTAAAAGAAGCGTTTTGCTTAACCGACATATAGCTGATTTAGAAAAAAAAAGTAGTTTTTTTTGCGTTTTAGTGTAAGTATTATGCAAAAAAACATACTATGAATTTTCATGTCATTTTCAATGGTTTTTGTTAATTTTTATGCATACATTTAGTGAAATTTCTGGACGATTTCATCTAAATTTTAGATTCTAAAAGCTCCTAGTTTGCGTTGAAGTCTTTTAGTATGTCTATTATTTATTTTCGCAATTTTTTTATGAACTTAGATCAGCTATTTGCCCGACTTACGTTCTGGGTACCATGCTGATGTTTGTTTTTCTGCTGGAGTGCAATCTTCTTGAAGTAGAGAGCGAAAGTGATCCTCTTTGACCGTGAGTTGAACTACTTCTACATAGAAGATATCTGCGGATAAAAAAAAAGAACTTTGAAAAAGACCATAAGTGACAATGGTTTGGACAAAAGAGAAATAAGTGAGCTGGTTCTTTTATTTCGTTTACAAATAAGTTTAATGCCGAGTAAGCGGTTCGATGTTACCAATGAGTAAATTTGTGTACGCTTTAAAATCTCAAAAATTTCTGTAACGATTGAAGTCCCATTTCGACACGATATACAACTTGCTTCAAAGATTGTTTTGTCTATTTTTCGCGTTAGTTTTGTTCCTTAAAGCTCATCAATTGAATCACGATGCCCCACAGTATACTACAGTATACTACAGCTAGTGAATTATAATTAAGAAATAGCGTACCTGTTGAAGTGTTTCCTGAAAATACCGCTGGTACAGTATAAGGCAATGGGGTTCACGCAGCTGTTGATGAAGGATGTGCAGAACCCAATGATCCTGAGTGCGTGCCAAAAGCCGTTGTAATCATCTTGGGCTGTTGGGCTGAGAACATAAAGAAGGTAGGTATTTTTTCAGTTAATGCAGAACATTCTTTTGATAATGTTTTATTTTTCATAAAGGTCTTCTAAATTCATCTTTCAAGGCAAGGTGTATAACAATTTATATATTTAATAAATTAAATCAAGTGTTTGTAATCAACAAACTGTTAATAAATTTTAACATTTACAAAACAAAATGAGTACAACTTGATTGACTACTTGACATCAGAATTTAGTTAATTAAAGCATCCCTGGTCATCATTGTCGGTTGTTCATTATTTATTTTGGCTTGTTTATTTATCATAATAATGTTTTCTCGACGTCTACAAAAGGATATCTAGACATAAATTAAGCGAAGTTTGTAGTATCGCTCTTAAACACGTAAAAACATACTTGGATAATATATATTTTTGTAAATACATGAACTTATGTTATAAATAGAAAATAAAGATCAAGTGTTCATATAAGTTGCCAATGTCGGGGTAGGAGAGGGCAACTGCCTGTTGCTGGCTTTTGTGTGTAGACATCTCACACTTGCTGAAACGAGCCATGTTACGATTTACTTTGTTATAAAAACAATACGTTCACTTAATGTTTCACCTGTAGGGAACAAACGGGGGAGACTCGGCTTTAAAATGTGTATGTATTTTAACCCCTTTAGTGGGTGAAATGTGTATGTATTTTGACCCCTTTAGTGGGTCCAATGTGTATGTATTTTGACCCATTAAGTAGTCAGACTTATACGATTTTGGGGTGTTCAAGCTCTATGTGAAATTGTAGTTGGCAAAATTTGGGAGTTTAGTAAACGTCTGAGGAGTCTTTGAGGATATAGGCATGAATATATGTAGGCACTAGTAACCAATTAATGTTCCTGATGTTGCGGATGCTTAAATCACCAGACAGACGTATAACATACTTATAATCGGAATCTTCTTTGAGTTACTGTAGTCTCTCCCGTTTCCCCATCTGAGACTTGTAAAACGAAAAGAGCCTATTTCCCTATCCGTTTTCCTTATTTTTATTTATCGTATTTCCTTGTCCCGTCTGAAAACAATTTCATTGACCAGGAGGATTGGCGCCAGCCATGTTTAAAAGAAACTGGTCAGGACGATGATTAAATGTATGCACTTACTAGTAATAGAACCACATCATGAAGACATGTGAGGGCAGGAAACATGCAGCGAAGACTAAAACGAACGCCAGCACTGTAACGGCCACTTTTCTTCTAGCTCGCATCTGAAATCAAAATATTCATTAATTATTATCTGTATGTGGTACTTGTAGTCTCTTAAGAGATAAAACGTCTTGTATCTTAATTTAATTTATAAAATACGTGGGTGAGCCATCCATACTAATATTATAAATGCGAAAGTGTGTCTGACTGTCTGTTACCTCTTCACCCTTAAACCGCTGTACCGATTTAGATAAAATTTGATACGTTTCAGTCCCGGGAAAGGACATATGATAGTTTTTGTTCCGAAAATCTTCCTTTAGGGGGGTGAAAAGGGTGGGTGGAAGTTTGTTAGGGGAATTAATAACCAGTGAATCGATTCAGATGAAATTTGGCATGGAGATAGCTTGATTCTTGATAAAGGACTTATAGGCTACACGCGGGCGGACCCGTTGGTAAAAGTTAGTGCTTCGATAAATACGGGCCGGCTCAACAGGAGTTCTTTTCATTGCTTTTTATCAAGTGACTGAGGTTACCAGTAGCTCAAACTCCCATAACTCTGAGAGGAGTCTCACAGGGTGGCAAAGCATTTATGTTTCTTGAGTTACACTGCTGTTTTTCCACTGCACGGATGGCGTAGTGGTTTAAGTGGTCGCTATACCGCCTCCTGCTACGCTGAGTGTTGTGGATTCGATCCCCACATGGGACACCACTTTGTGTGATCCAGAAATTGTTGTTCTGACTCTGGGTGTTCTTTGTATGTTTGTGAAGTCCCCCGCGACACAGGATATATATTCAGGAGTTGTCTTTATTTAAATAAAAAGAAAGTTACAACCCATGGGCGGCGATACTCACTTACCATTAAGTGATCCGTCTGATCATTTGCCGTCTTCCAAAAAAAACAATATCTTGAAATCACTGGTTTCACTTAATTCATTCTAGGTACGTACGCTAGCACCAGGGACTTCCTTTCTAGGGTATACCTGGTTCCCCGGTTATTAGTACCCGGCGACGGCGTGCGGTTTTAGTCGGTTCGAGTCCGACATGCCACCGACAGGTGGTATCCGAGGGGATTTCCGAACGAAAAAAAAAAAAAAAAAAAAAAGTACGTACGCTAAAGTCATAAATTCATTAGGTATAGTCCCCGAAAATAATTGGGGCTATTATGATTTAAGATATCCGCCTGGACTGCTGTTATAAATAGCTAGCAACCCAGTAATTTTTTATTTGAATTTTTGGATGAATACTTAAATTACCCTTACCCGAACTTACCCTGAATTACCTGGCCAATTAAACTTTCATCATTTTAGCAATGGGACGTCTATTTCTGGACCTATTGTCCTACGAGTATATTGACCGATATAGACCTCTCTCAATGACTTAGAAGATTATGATATGTCTTATATGTATATCATAATATCAACAGCTTTTCTATTGATGTTATTATCATTACTAGAAGACCTATACAATATAAATTGTATAGGTCTTCTAGTGTAGCCTGGTTAATAGGAGTGTCCAATTAAGAAAGTAAAAAGTAAAGTGAAAAATTTGTAGACATTGCATTTACAACGGTTTATGAATAAATTCTAGTGCATCATAAAGTCAGAAAATTTACATGTAATTTTTTCTGTAAACTGTATATTTTATGTTTAAGACAAATTTAATTTTTACCAGTTTACGCTCTTCAAAATGCCTACTAACTCACCCCATTACGACTTTACTAGTGTCCACATATTATTTAAAAATTAGTTTTTTGTATCATATCCCTCCCAAGATAAAAGTAGCCTGTGCTTACACCTTATAATATTAGCTATCTACTAGTGAAAGTCCAGTGAAAATCGGTTCATCCATTTTGGGGATTATCCGGCACAAGCAGACAAAAATGTTTGAATCATCTTTTTATTAAAAATACCGCACAAACGATTTAGTAAAAAGCGAATTTAGTAAAAAGCTGTAATTATGAAAAAAAGACACTCCAATTTTTCATTCAATTTTAATGTTGCTATTACTAAATACTTTCTAGATTAACGGTCATCTCCTTTATCTCTTTCTAATTCAAAGATTTAATGAAAGCGTTCCTTCTCTTTCAATAAAATGTGAAATTTAGATAAATTAGATGGAAAATTAAACCTTTTGCCAATACAGAAAAATGGTTTCCTTTTAAATTAGGTGTTGATTTGATATACAGCCTTAATTTGTCCCTTCTGAGATTGGAAACCGATTGACACGGAATCATATTTGAAGAAGAGTTGTTTAAAAAGCTCAGGAATAGCAGAATTATTTTTCAAAATGTAACTGCTATTATTTATGCTGCTACGTATTTTTTACGCTACTTTCGCTTACTTTACAATGTTTTGTAAAACGATTATTAATATCAGTTTTCTATGTTCATCATCACATCAACAACCATCAATAGTCCACAGCTGGACATAGGCCTCTCCTTAGAAAGGAGGTTTTAGCCTACTATTCCACGCTGGCCAGACGGGTTGATATAGGGTTTGTGTCAATTTGTTTGTTTTGTTTTATAAAAGACAACTCCCGCATTAGGAATATATTCTGTGTCGCGGGGGACTTTACAAACATACATGAAATGGACACAAATAACACTCAGACTCAGAACAACAAGTTAAAGAAGAACTCAGTACTCAGAACAAAAAGTGTCGTCCCATGTGGGGTTTAAACCCACAACACTCGGTGTAGTAGGAAGCGACGTCGCAACCGTTTAAAACACTACGCCATAGTAATACGTGCAGTCAAGTTTTCCTTCTCTTTGCAGTACTGTTCTCCTCACAGAATGAATAGGGGTGGTGACACTCCGTATTCTTAATTCGTCACCACACGGACAGCATCAGTCTGGCACTTTATACAAAGCGGACTGTGATTGTTATTCTAAACATAATTATTATGTATATACATACTTATAATCACGAAACGCGAGGGTCCTAATTACTTCCATGCGACCGAGCGCACGTACTAATTAATTTAAGAAAATTCATAAAATGCCTTTCTGTGTCTTCCAAAAGTGCACAAATTACGACAAAAAGGTAAATAAAGAAAAAGGAATATCATACCACAGGTATGATATTCCTACATAGAACTAAACATACATATATACCACAGGTATATATGTATGTTTAGTTCTAAAATGCATTAATAGATGTATGTATGGTTACGGAATAAATACTTTGTGCGTGCAGTATGAATATAAGGTATCTTCCTTAAAATAATTGCTTATAATAGACAAAAATTGATGTAGATACTAATTCAATATTAATGTGAGAAATCGATGCAATGGTGACACCAAACAATTAAATAAATCCATTACTCAGTCCATTAATGATTTGATTCAAAGTACTTTGTAACGGTTTTATATCAGTATTAGTGGCCGATCCCCATATTTCTATCATGAATTCTAGGTGCGTTTTAACTAGCGAGTTGTGATGTAAGATAACATTTGTTATCTTACGAAGGACTCCCAGCAGCGATACAAGTTTCTATCGTATATGACTAATGTGCAATTTCCAAGACAAGTTATTGTCAATCCTGAGGCCCAAATATTTTTCGTTGTTGGATCGTTATTTATTTTTATTGGAGGAACGGTGGGAGAGTAGGTGGGAGAGGTACAGGATATACTACATAGTATATCCTGTACCTTCCCATGCCTTTCCTTCATGCATCCATCTTTAAATTCTAGAAGTGTCCGGTTGACGGGAAAGCCTATTGCTTTCCGAAGTTATAGCTGTCAAAAGATAGTGTTTAGAAGGTCCGTCTAACCCTTTCTGTAATACAGGTGTAAATGTAAGTCGGGCACGCCGTCATCGCGGCGGTATGACCCGTTATGGAGGATTGGCGCGAGAGGCGTCACGGGACCCTCTCATACCGACTGACGCAGGTGATCACTTAGAAAGGATGTTTCGGGGATCACCTGTGTCTGATCCGCAAGGAGCCAACGCCTGAGTGCCACCACTGCGATGGCCAGACCGTGGACACGGCTCTCCACACGCTGGCAGAGTGCCCGGCGTGGGTTGAGCAGAGGCGAGACCTCGTGGCGGCCATCGGAGTGGGAGTTCTCTCGCTCGATAGCCTGATTGCGGCTATCGTGCGGAGCAAGAGTGCGTGGAACTCTGCCGTCTCCTTCTGCGAGCAAGTTATGCTCGCGAAGGAGACGGCGGAGCGGGACCGGGAGAGGTTTAGGACTCTCCCGGCCCGCCAGGCCCGGGAACGGGCTAGGTACCGCAGGCGACTCAGGCGACTCAGTCGCAGAACGACCTCCGTCCTCCATAAGCGGTGAGGCCATCTGTCACCCTAGCAGAAGCAGGCCGGGGTGGCGGCGAGCGCGTTGCGAAGCGCGCTCGCTTCCAGGGAGCACAGGGAACATGGGGTGCCCACACAGGGGGGGGGGGGGGTCGTCTACTCGTCTGTAGATGACCCGAGGTATGTCGGGGCACCAGGGACTTCCTTTCTAGGGTATACCTGGTTCCCCGGCTATTAGTACCCGAGACGGCGTGCGGTTTTAGTCGGTTCGAGTCCGACATGTCACCGACAGGTGGTATCCGAGGGGATTTCCGCACGGAAAAAAAAAAGGTGTAAATGTAAGTGTTAAATTTATTTTGACATCTATTATAACAATCTATCTACGAGTATCTTTTGGAAGTCGGGGGTGGGATTCCCACACAGGACAAATAATTATGTGATGAGCACTATGATTTGTTCTGTGTCTGGTTGCAATTTATCTATGATATGTTTGTATTTAGAAATATATAAGTATGTTTATTAGTAGTCGGGTTACCATAGTACAGGCTCTGCCTAGTTTGGATTCAGACGGCCGTGTGTGAGATGTGTGAAGCTATTATTATTATCCTGAACCTTACTCGGGCATATCTCTGTGAGATATACAATTTTTTTTTAGTCTCGTTCTTCCTATTATAGTAGATCTATCTTAGTCTTCATTTTTACAAATATTACTTACCTGTCGTTGTGTGCCTTGCATTTCTCCAGGAACGTTTTGTGTACTTAGCACCAGATGGCGAGCCATTAGTATGTAGAATAGTGCTATGACGGCCAGGGGCAAAGAGTAGTACACAAGGAACCTCATCAGCACAATTGCGCGAGGGTAGCCCTCACCCCATTCTATCGGGTACGGGTAGCACGCCAAGAACTGAAATAAAAAACACGTTATACCAACTTTTAAGGGTACATTTGTTAGAGGACTCAGCTTGATAAGCTAACACTTCATAAGCAATGTCTCTTTGTTTCCATAATATTATTTATATTTTTATACGCTCTACTCAATTTCATTTTCACTGCGCGGATGCAAAATAATTGCAGATTTCTTTCGCAGAAACACCACAAGGACTTTCACGTCCCTGATTAATATTAAAATCAAAATCCCACGTCTGAACACTGTCTTCAAACATACAGGCAATAGCATACCTTGGAAAATAGTTTTCAGCACCTTCAGATTAATCCATGTTTAAATGTGTAAACTATAATGTGTCTACAGTAAAATAATCTATGTGTGTTTATTTGTGTCTAATAAACATTTTTATTTGTATTTTAGAGAGTTTGACTTCCTTGTTGTGAAACTCACAGATCTAATATAACCTCCTTAGACGGCCAACAAATCTCTCTCTCTCTCAAACTTTGTCCTCGTTTAAGCCAGAACAAGATGGAGCTATATAACGCACCTTTATTCATAAACTGAATTAACTTAGAATTTCAATATTGTGGGAAATAGCATTTAAAGTTTGACATTCATGTACATGCGAGTTCGTCAAAAAGAAAACGACGATCTCTTTTCTCTGCCATTTTCATGGTATCGAGTCGGCTGTTGGATTGTTCGTGTTCTGCTGATGACGTTGATTTGGTATTTGTTGAAAACTCGAAAAACGTAAATTTTTAATTAATTCAGTTTATTATTAAAGGTGCGATAAGTATTGTGAGAATGAAACATCGCTAGAGCCTCGGTGAGCCTCGTGACTTTAAAACCGACACCACATCACTCGTTGTTAATCGTTGATATCCATACTTTTATTATGATTGTAGAAGTGTTTGTTTGTTAAGCGTTTGTTAGGCGTGAAAGCCTAAACCATGATTTCTGAATTCTTTCACTAATGGAAAGCTATACTATCAGGCCATTTTTTACACCTTGTGCCAACTTCAAGAACGCTTAACTAAATAAAAATGAAACTTCTTTTGTAGGTGTTATTGTTTTACAAGATTAACAAATTAATTTAAAATAAATTTACAATAAAAATCGACTCGTCTTATCTTAGTTACATACTCCCGATAATTACTATACTTTGTAAAGGTGTGTCCGACGTGATTTATCAAGATTTTTAACATCGAAGGACCTTTGAGAGAAAAGCCTGCAATTCTATTTGCCCAGTCAGCTGCCCGAAATTTCCCACTTGACCTTAACGCCAATTCTCAAAAGACACGGTCCACTTATCTATCTAATAGGTCGTGGCGTATCTGTAGCGAACTGAAAGATGATATGAAATGTTAGAAAACGTATACAAACATAGATATAACTATCGATATTTACAGCCTATTTGCGAAATCTCTATTGTAAAAGTTGTTAGACACGTGTCGACACATTCAAAGGTTTTATTTATAGATGCTTTGGTATAATTATCTATTGTGTCAGTCCTCTCGCTTAAAATATATCAGATTTGTAGGTCAAAGTTATAAAGGTATTATTTTTCAAAATTATAACACGAATTTCATATTGTATACGATGGACGATCTTACAATAATATGATATAACTAATCAGTAATACATACGTTATAAGTAATATTTATTTTATAAGTAATAACACTATAGAATAAGCATTTGAAACACTATAACAATACATATAAATATCATTTCTATATTTTGTGTATTTATTAAGGATGAGATGAAATGGAAAAAGATGATGGAAAGAACTCATGTCTGTTAAAATTAGGTCTCATGTTTAAAAAAAACAGCAAAACATTATAAAAAAAAACACATATTATTTTACAAAGAAATTAAATCAAATAAACTAAAATAAATAATACGATAAGAACATTTCAAGTAGAAGCCCAAAATCGATCTAAGTGGCGTGCAATGGGAGAGGACTATGTCTAGCAGTGGACTGCGATAGGCTGATGATGATGATGATGATGATTTCAAGTAGGTGAGATTGCCAAAATAACAGGAACAATTTGAAAAAAAATCAAAGCAGACAATTTCATTATAAAAATGACAATATTTGTCAAATTAGAAAGAACTTGTATTGTTGTCGACATTTCTTATTTTTGTGTTATTTGTTTGTAACATGTTTGTGAGTTTTGTGTGTTTCTGACATAACTTTGTAGTTACTCACTACATTGACAGCGTCGTTTGATGTCTGTGCGCGCCCGGATGTTCTTTGTTCTTGCATGTTACGAATTGATGGAAATTGACTTTTTCTTGCTAACTGACACTTTCACCCAATTATGTTCACTTCAATTTAAAATAATTTGCATCAAAGAAAACATACTTTATGAATAGAAGTTTCTGAACGCGACGAAGTGGGATACGAGTTGATTGTACTATTTTTTTGTGACTATGGGATTTAATTTTTGATCTGTATGTACGAACAAACCGACCAAAGTTGATAGATAAATAAAAATCTGTTTAGTCCATTATAATTTAAAGAAAAAAAACACTATGACTAAGGGGGGAAAATAAGGACTGAAGAATACAGTTTAATACAGTTATTTTTTTACAAAAGTTACTTAAAAATAACTTTTGTAAAAAAAATACATGGAATGAAGTAGAATAGAATATGCTTTATTGTACACCAATTACTATATAATAGATATTATTATAGACGGATATGTGCAATGGGAGGTCTTGTTGCTACAAGCAACCTTTGGATAGACAAATTGACAGTAGATGAGAAGAAATAATAGAAAGTTTAAGGTTATTAAAGTTACAATAGTATAAAAACAAATATATAAATATAGGCATAAATATACATACGTACGTAGTACACACTTTGATATACTTAATTGATTTAAATCAATCCTTCTTTCTGTTCAGTTAAACCGTAAATATATTATAATATTGTGCTCCATACCACATGGTATATGTACACAATAACAGTACCTAAATATTACAGTAATCAAGTTAAATAAAGTTATACCAAGAGAGTTCTAATCCAGCTTAAATGTCTTAGTTCAGAGTTATGTAATCAATTCTAAACTTGAACTAACTTAAATTTGGATTAGATGGCGAGACAAAACTATTTGAATTTAACGGTTGAAAATTCATGTCTCGATTTAAGTAGCTTTTGTGTTTATACTACCTGATGTTGCCAACCCAAGCATAATATTCTGTGAGAATTAAGAATGTTCTGAATTCTCACAGAAAGGAGTTAAGCATACGGAGTGTCCCCACCCCTATTCATCCCGTGGGTATCGTAAGAGCCGCGTAAGGGAGCAAACTACAGTACTGCAACGAGAAGGAAAACTTGAAACAAACCCTATACAACGTGGTATACTCGTAGTAGGCTAAAACCTCGTTTCTAAGGCCCATGACCAGCTGTGGACTCTCAAAGGCGGATGATATGATGTGACTTGTGTTGTACTTTATGAATACGATGATCATACCTATATATATATAGATAGATACGTCTTTGATTTGTAGAAGAAAGTAAGACTGAAGATTCTTAAAGACAAGATACGACAACAAGTGCGTTGCCGCCTTTTGTGTGCATCCTTCTCCGCTACAGTTAGGAGCAGGGAAGTTGAGTCTTCGGTAACCTCACTCATTCGGTGAAAAGCCTCAAAAGAATTGCTGAGCACCGGTTTTCTATGTTCATCATCATCATCATCAACAGCCTCTAATAGTCCACTGCTGAACACAGGCCTCTCCTTAGAAAGGAGGTTTTGGCCTACTATACCACGCTGGCCAGTCGGGTTGGTATAGGGATTGTGTCAAGTTTTCCTTTTCTTTTCAGTGTTGTTGTCCTGCGTAGTTTGCTCCCTTAGTCGGCTCACAGGATGAATAGGGGTGGTGACACTCTGTATTCTATGTTAAATTCTGATTATTCAAAGTTAAGTACTAAATTTTTATAACAATTTATAATTTCAATGACGTAGCAAATACCTGTGTAGTAGGATTGACGACAAATGTCCGAAGGTATGACCCCAAGTAGGCAGGAGTCGCTAAAAGTGCTGCTAATATCCAAATGCCAATTGCTGTGGCCACGGTCAGTCTAGTAGCTCGCCTGCTGCCTCCTGAGAACAAAAATGGACAAGTGTTAAGATCACTAACTCATTCGCACTAACTCATGTATGCTTCTGAAATGGTAACAATCTACACAATGTTATGTAACTTGGCCTGGAGATCTTTAAACATGTAGATTTCCAGGCCTAATCTTTTGGTACAGGCCTCTGCTTAGTTTAGACTTCAGATCTCCCACAAAATTACGAATTTCTGTACAATGCTCTTGTAAACTGTATGTTATAACGGCCAGGAATGTATTAGGTTGGGCTTTTTACGTAAATATTACCACTCCATTATCAAAAACAAAAGATTTAAGTACTTATTTATTTGAGTCAGAAAGTTTTTCCTCTACACTTCTAGCGTAGCAACTATATAGGAACCGCCAATAAAAAAAGATCCTTGTATAAATAATAATAAATGTAATATTCTTTGACACCCTGGATTAACATAAAGTCTACATTTTATCTCGAAAAAATGTGTTCACGTGAAGATTTTGTAATAGTAATCGATTTCCTTTCCGAGAATCGATACATCGATGGTTATTACCAAAAGAAATGTACACCATTAAGGGTGTTATTGTTTGTGTCCATAAAACAGTGGCGGCAAACCGTCGCTCCGTAAATAAAGGAGGTCGTTACTCAGTGAGATTTATCACTGACCCCACCTGGGCCAAGGGAAAATTAAAACTAACATACTTAAAGGTTTCTTTGTTGCTGCGAGATTACTTGTAAGTTTAATGGTTTAGAAACGTAATTGCTTTGTAATGTTTTCGGAAATTACCACAGTTTTCTGTCTTCAGGTTACGATTTTTAATGGTTTTGTTAGCAGTTTCTGGATCCTCCTGTCTATGAGACTGTTGTTAAGAGGTTCTGGCGAAGGGTAACGCTTGACTTTTTGACGGTATTCGAAGACGTACAGACATAGATAGATAGACAGATAACTCTTTATTGTGCAATAAAAAACAAAATAATAATACAGTTTGTAAACGGGTTCCTTCTATCTGACAGAATCTTGATGCTCCGAAATTTTCTTTAAACGAATATGTTTAAGGCAGTAAAAACATTGAGTATAATTAATGTTCGACCGAATGTTTATATGTTCGAATTTACAATGGCATTCTTTTAAGATGGCATAATTTTATTTAGCATAATCACCTTTGGCAGAGTTAAAATTCCGCATAATTTTGTTTAGCATAACGTTTTAAAGCGACGATTATTTGGTACAATTTCACTTGGCATACTATAAAGATGGCAGAATTTCACTTGGAATAATTTTTTAGGCATATTGATTTATGGTAAGAAATACAAAATGATGGATAGATAATCTTTCAATTGTTATAGACATGAAATATATGCCAAAAGATGATTCTCACTGTAAACTTTCTGAGATATGATTCTGCCTTTTACTGACTATCGATATGAAATTTATGCTCAAAGACGATTCTGACTATGAACTTTCGGCGATATGATGGTTCTACTTTTTAATTATTATGGATATGAAGTTTATGGCTTAAGATGATTTTGAACTTACAGAATACAGTTTTGAACGTATGATAAATGAGTGTCTGCCAAACGATTTTCTGCGAAATGTAGTTTATGCTATCCGTTGCTATGTAAAGTAATATTATAAATAATATAAAGTTATATAAATAAATCAAAGAGAGTAAAGTTGTACAATTGGTAATGGTATCGCGATTTGAAATACTTGATAGACTTGCGTACACGAATTTAAATATTTTTTAAATCTTATACAGAAAAAATATGCTGTTCTAGTTTGTTTTGTTTTTGTTTTACTTGATAAAGCGTTTGTAATTGATATTTCCAGGCTAATTTCCGCCACTCGACGTCTACTGTTAGCCTATTTTGTCACTCATTGAAAAATAATAACAGAAGATTTATGTAGTAATAACGAGTTAGGTAATGTTTGAATTAGAAGAAATTGCTATGTGTTACTTTAGAAGCTAGTGTTAATCGGGATTCTCAAAAAACCTAACAAAAAAATGGGATCCTTACAAACAAAATGAATAGAGAAATCAAGACAAAAAGATTATATATATAACTAGATAACCAGATTTTTGCACAAATTTTAGAATTCAACGAATCGAATAGTTATATGTTCTATGGTTGTGGTAAGAATTACTGTATCGGTAATGGTATCTTTTTACGGAAAGACGTTCTACCATTATTTACTACACTACGCCACTACGCCATTCGACGACCGAATGGCGTAGTGGTTTGTGTAACGGACTGCTATTCCAAAGGTCGCGGGTTCGATTCCCGCTCAAGTCAAACATTTGTGTTCATGGACATTTAATGTTTGATTTGGTCTGGGTGTTTCTATGTATAATAAGTATGTATTTACAAAAAAAAGTATATATGTATTTATATCAGTTGTCTAGTACCCATTGTACAAGCTCTGGTTAGTTTGGGACTAGATGGCGTTGTGTGAATGTGGTACAATATTATTATTATTATTATTATTATTGTCGCAGTACTTATTTATTAGGGAATAGGATTGGAAAGGTACTCGGTACTCTATTATATGTACAAGTACCTGTATTTATTGATATAAAAGAGTTAAATTTCTTCGTAATTTAAATAAATCTTGACGCAGACACAGTTTCATACATACTACTTTATGTAACTTTCGTATGTGATAAGACACGCAACTTAGCTTCGTTCACGTCATTATTCTACCCACATTCTGAAAATTAATCAAATGGCTTACAGGTATTCTTAACTGTCTTTGTAAGAAAAATAGAGTTATTCAGGTAAATTTATATAAGTGTTTTCTTAGTATTTTTTCCTTTTCGGTTTTATTTTATCTTGTACTAAACACTCATTCACAAAATACATTTTGAAAGCACTTTTATCCAAACCGCTTGTCTTTAATTTAATAATGTTACCTTTAAAAAAGTACAAGGCCTCAGTGTGTTCTTTAAGAAAAGTTTTGAAAAATCTGGTTTGAAATCTCTAAATGGCCTTAGCCTAGACAAAGGTTACACACATACGAATCAAACATTAAGTTTTTGACATCAAAATTAAAATAAATGTGAATCGCAACTTTTCACGAATAATTATCAGTATTGCAATGTATTTTGAGAATCCAAAAATTAGAAATTCCTAATCCACAGTACACCTGATTGAATGAAAGAAATCGCGTTATGGTTTAAATATTTAATCGTCATTGCCATCTTTACATAAGGGCTTAGTAAGTTTGTAACTTAAGAATATTTGGATCAGTTTTGTTATTCAAAAAGAAAAAATAAAACATACATCATCACTGTTCCAGCTTTATAAGCTTACAGAAGTTTCACCGTTTAATCGTGGAGACAACGAGTTATGACATTTTGATTGCTCCTTTTTGATTTGAGTTGTCAAAGTGACGGATGAACTATCTCTGCGTCTATTGTCAATTATAATCCTAAAACGTTCAAGAGTAGAATGAATGGGTTTCGCTGGATAGGCGCGTACCGTACTCTTTTTCATTGTCCACTCTAGCAGATCGTTTACCGTGGAAAAGCTATGCTTCGAGACAAAAGGGCTTGCTCGACCGGATTGATACCACAGTCTCAAAGAAAGCTGGTGTTAAGTAATTCTTTTCATTGCTTTTCACGGTGTGAGGGAGGTTACCGAAGTCCAAACCTCCTCTCCTCTCTTGACTCAGGGCGGACGCAAAGGGCAGCAAAGCACTTGTGACTGTTGAGGAGGCTTAATAAAAGGAGTGCTCCAACAATTCTTATAATAAGATTAAGTTGAGTTAATGGAAATAAATCCTTATTACTATAAATCCTTATCCTTTGTGTCCATTTCATGTATGTTTGTAAAGTCCCCCGCGACACAGGCGGGCGTTGTTAAAATATGAAGAGAAAAGAGAAAGAGTTCGAAAACGAACCTCTGTTTGAATACCGATTGAAAAAAAAACAGTCAAATTTTGCACACGTCAAGGAATTTACTGGAAATAAACAAAGTAATATATTGGGCGCTTTTCTGAATGCTTTTGTAAATAGATTCTCCTATAGATTTATTTATAAATAGTAGCAAAAATCTAAACAACTTAAATGTATAATCATTATGAACCAAAAGATGGAAGTGAGGAACTTTGCGTGTGCGTTGAAACTCTGTATTAAAAAACAAGTAAACATAATTTACCCATTCCAAGAAACACATTATAGAACAGTTTTTTTTTGCAAAACTGATTCGAAAATTACAGAGCTATCAGTCAACGTGATACTACTAGTTTGGGAGTGTTTTATAAAAAGAGAATTGTGTAGGTAAAATGTTTCCTCCCTATTAGCCGCAATCTGTGGGAGTGATTTCATGAAAAAGGATGAAAGTTTGTTACAGGAGGTCGGTCAAGCGTTCGTTATTTGATTTGACTAATGAGCGCCCACCGTTTTAGTTGTCAGACGTTAGGTATGCTAATAGACCCCGGTTCGTTCGTTTTCTTTATGTTTTCTTTCAACTTTTGTGAGTTTTGTTTTCCCCGAAGTCCATGTTTGTTTCAATTCTTTATGGAGTTGTGGAGGATCCGGCCTGGCGGACCTGCGGCCATGCGGTTGAGGTTGGGAAGTTGTATATATGCTAATCGGCGAGAGAATTGTAATTAGCAGTTACTTAGTAGTTCATTGTGTCTACGTTATATGGCGCTGTAGTATGTTTCTTCGTTTCACCGTATTTGGTAGTCGCCACAGAGTGATTAATTTTATCTTAACACCTATTATTTATTTTAAGGATAAAATTATACTTCATTCGGTACAAACAAGTTAGCATTGTGTCAAATTTCCTCACGATATTAGTTTTGGAACGAAGTTAGAATGGGAGCGAGACCGAAAATTGTGTAACAAGACTTTGAGAGCCGTGTATGAACTAAATACATCGCCGCAAACAGCTCTCCCGCGCGCCCAAAGACTCCACGGCTCTCTTCTCTTTTATAGTAAATTATTAATGTTTGTTTCTAAAATTAAAAAAGTAAATATAAATATTTACTATATTTATATATACTTTTTTATAAATAAAGTTAAAGAAAAAAATAAAAATAAAGTTTTTACAGTTCCTAATTTTTAATTTGTTATTAACTTAATTATCCCAGATCATTCAGTGTTTAATTTAATTATGTTAAATTTATTTTATTATAATTTTTTCAATTTACCTCTATGAACTTGATATTTTATAACTTAAATTATATAGGTATAGGTAGACGTTTGCTATACAGTCAGTATAGCAAACGTCTACCAAAAAGCGAAAGGAACTTAATTCCGACCGGGTCCATAGACCCCTCACGCTGTTGTTTTTGCGGTATATCATCCGTACCCGACATTGGATGACATACATACGAGGTGACAATAAAAACTAAATATACTTCATAAGACAGCACGTAAATGTCCTGAAATTCCTTGTAAGTTAATGTGCAATGAATAAGTTACTATGTACTTATTACTGAGTGTAACGATATTGCTTGGTTGTAAAGTTGTAGAAACAGGCCTAGTTGTCATAATTTTATATGTTACTGTTTTTACCGACTCTTTGCTATTAAGCTCTTGACTATAAAGCAAGCAAAGCAAGTTTTTTATTTTAACATCTTATAATAGTAACAGCAGCTTTTACAAGTGTAAAGGTCGCAACAAAAACTCCACCATAATAAATTGTCATCAAATGGCTTTACTGTCTGAGGACTGCCCAAAACCTGGATAG